GTAACTGGCAAAGTCCTGCTGGTGCTTTGAGTATTTCACTGTCACAGAATAATCTCCTAGAGTTACGTTACTGTGTGGGGATCTGCAGCGCTCTAGCTACTTACTCTTAGCTCCCTCATTCTCACAGATCTTGGGGGACAGGCCAGTCCTCGCTTACAGACAGCCCCCCAACCTGAAGCAAATACTCACCAGCAACTACACACCACAGAACAAAAACACTGACCCAGGAACCAATCCCTGCAACAAACCCCGGTTCCAACTCTGTCCACATATCTATTCAAGGGACACCATCATAGGACCTAACCACATCAGCCACATCATCAGGGGCTTGTTCACCTGCACATCTACCAATGTGATATATGCCATCATGTGCCAGCAATGCCGCTCTGCCATGTACGTTGGCCAAACCGGACAGTCGTTACACAAAAGAATAAATGGACACAAATCTGACATCGGGAATCATAACATTCAAAAACTAGTCGGAGAACACTTCAACCTCCCTGATCACTCAATAACAGACCTAAAAGTGGCAATTCTTCAACAAAAAAACTTCAAAAACAGACTCCAATGTGAAACTGCAGAACTAGAATTAATTTGCAAACTGGACACCATCAGATTAGGCCTGAATAAAGACTGGGAGTGGTTGGGCCATTACAAAACCTAAACCTAATTTCCCCAATACTAATTTCCCCCTACTGTTACTCACACCTTCTTGTCAACTGTCTGAAATGGGCCACTCTCATTACCACTTCAAAAGTTATCTTTCCTCCCTTGGTATCCTGCTGTTAATTGAATAGTTTCGTTAGACTGACCTCACACTTGGTAAAGCAAACTCACATCTTTTCATGTATTTATACCTGCTCTTATATTTTCCACTCCATGCATCCGATGAAGTGGGGTTTAGCCCACGAAAGCTTATGCCCAAATAAATTTGTTAGTCTCTAAGGTGCCACAAGGACTCCTTGTTGTTTTAGCTACTTAATGTTCATCTGTCTTTCCCAGGAAACTGAACCCTGCTCATTGGGAGTTAATCTACGTTTTTGAGCATTATTAGTTTTGCAGTGAGGTTGTTTGGATCAGGACTCTAGTGTCAGATGTATATGGGTGGGCAGGTGCATACGCTGAGCGGGCACGCTACTGCCCTCTCCTGGATGGCACTCAACAGACCTCTTTGGGCATGCCCATCCCCTCTACTGGCTGCGGTCGAGAAGCTGCTCCTTCAGACCTTCCACCCCGCAATGGCTACACGTGCCAGATGCGCAGCTGCATTTGCAAATCCAGGATCGGACACGTGAAAAGCCATAAACACAAATAAACCCAGAACTCAAGTCAAGCCGGCTGAACGCTCGTCCGTCAAAGCGACGGGAGACTGCAACGAATCGGACAGTCTCGGATGCAAGTTCTATTCCCCAACGCTATGTGCATGCAGTTAGCCGACCACCTTGTACTGCAGTTACCTCAGTAGTTGTGCATTGTTATGATAATCGGAGGCGGTTCCAGACAGTAACTTGCTGTCACAGCTGCCCGAGGCTGGGCAGTGGTGGTCAGAAAACGGCGTCTTTTCATGTGTCTTCAAGTCACACCTGCAGAGCTGATGTTACCGCTAACAAGCTTTGAGTCCTACTAGCCTGGGAGAGCTATGGGAGCGGGAACTGGAATCTAGTCTGGCTCCTGCCCTGCCAACAAGATTGTCAACTAAGTTCCAGCGGGAGGGGCTTTACTTCCTGGGGATGGAGTAAACAACAGAAAGAGCCGCAGGGGGGTTGCTGATGCCAGCAGGAGCAGAACTGGAACCCAAGTGTGGGCTGTTTCAAAAAGCCAGCGGTGTGGTTTCCCCGCGCACAGGTCCTGCACCTGACAGACAAAGGGGTTTATTGTTTGCAGGGGCATCCCCCCCAGTTTGTGTGTGTAACCGGGGTGCAAGTCAGGCTCTGTAGCTGGCAGCCTTGTGCTGAGGCCAATGTCTGAAGAGGCCGTGGAGATTGAACTCCCTCTTCAAGCTCATTAGAATGGTGGGTACTTCTGAAAACCAGGCCCACAGCATCTCACGCTGGGCTCCCCAAATCAATGGCCGCTTCTGAAAATGTGGCCTCAGATGACTTGCCCGAGGCAACATGGTGCATCAGTGTCAGAGCCTGGCACCATACACAGATCTCCTGACTCGGTGGCTCACCCACAGGGCCATGGATACTTCTAGAAGCTCACACCCTAAAGAGGCAGATGGATTTTTTACCCATCAGTGCAACCCCCATCCCTTGTTAAACCCACTGCAGAGAGCTATTCCTGGCCCCCTTGTGGCTGCCCCGGGCGACCTGCTCGTCCCCCTCTGTCTCTAAGGTCTGTGATTGTCCGAAGCAGTTACCCAAAGGTTCTCCCTGTTTCCCAAGTGAGTCTCGGGGAGTGAGAGATTTGGACGAGGGAAAGCTCTCCTCCACCTGTAACTTCAGTTTCACGATGCCTAAGAGGAGGGGAGTGTAATTAATGGCTTGGCTCAAATTCATGACTAATTCTATAGCTGGCTTTTTCAGACCTACTCCTCCAGCAGCCCTTCCCGTCAACTTCCCTTTCTGTCCCCGAGCCACTTACTCTGACCCCTGGGGTGTTCCAGGCCCCGGGGGCAGGGGCACAACCTTGCTAAAACTTCCCCTTCTCTCTGGTGGCGGCCAGGGTTCAGTGCGCTGGTCTGGTCGGCTCTGCACAGCCAGGCTCTCTGGTGACTCCTGAATAAATTCCCAGTAAATGACATCTCTGGGCAATTGCACTTTCCTGCATGGACGCTGGTCCCCGTCTGTCCCTGAACGACTGTGTAGTGAGGAGGCTCAGCTCAGGACAGGTTCACAGCTAGGGGTCGAGTCAGGATTGAGGTGCCGTGGCAGAACTGGGGGTGGGGAGTCAGAGCCTGGAGTAGCAGGGGGTGCCACAGATGGGCAGGCAGGACAGGAACAGCCGGGGAGGCTGCAGGTTAGGAGAGGCCTTTTCAGAGCCCTGTGCGTATTCTGCTGGTCCTAGTGGGCAGAGAGCAGGCGCAGACAGATCTCCTGGTACTATGGGCTTCGTGCACTGGAGACGTGGTCCCTGCCCTGAGGAGCTTAAACAATCTAACCAGGCGACACACCTGTGAGGGAGACGGGAAAGGAGGCAGCTGCCCACAAGCTGAGGGATTCATTGGTGCCTAGGTGTTATGGGCAGATCTAGCTTGACCCACTGCACAGCCCAGCCCAGACAGTGTCAGCCGGTGACTCTTGCCTCCTACCCAGTAACCTGGAGCTGAACTAGAGCGGCTCTTGGAGAAAGAGCCAGGCAGTCCGGATTAAAGACCCAAGTGATGGAGAGCTGACCGCATCCTGTGGCAATCTGCTCCCGTGGTTAATTACCCTCCCCATTCAAAATGCGCTCCTGATTTCCAGTCTGCAGCAGGCTGACTTCAGCCTCCGGCTAGCAGATCTGATACACCTTCATCAGCCAAAGTAAGGAGCCCTCTGGCATCAAATAGTTCCTTCCCACGGAGGTACTTCCAGAGCAGGATTAAATGACCTCGTAACCTTCCCATCGATAAACCAATTCGATTAATCTCCTTTAGTCTCCCTCCACAGCTGGTTTTCCAAACCACCCATCCGTCTTGTAGTCCTTTGAGCCCGAGCAATTCCATTCTGACGAGTTCCTTTTCTGTTCCCTTTTAAACTGGAATCAGGATAAAATGAGAAGCTGCTGAGGTTGGGAGAGGAGGGGAGTCAGTGGCCGGAAGAGAATGGGGCTGTTTGTTGCAGGCACAGGGAGAAACAAATGGAGCTTTACTCAATGGAGTCTCTTGGTTGACTTAGCATTGCTGGGCTCTTTTAAGGGCCCTTTCTGCTCACTGGGGGCATTACTCTTGTAATGAACTGCCTAGGGTGTATACATCAACACTGCCCTCTACCAAATAGAATCGGAACTGCTCAACTGTGTGCCATAGACTGTATACTGCAAGCAATTGATGGAGATTCTCCTTTAGATCGAGTGGGAGGGGCCTGGGCTGTTGGAGCAGTAGGATCCGAGTTTCAGAGGGTTCCAGCCTGGTGACAACAGTAAAGTTCCTAGCTGACCCTAGAGTTGTTACTCCAGAGCATCTCTGTACAGTTTATCACTATAGTTGTAGAACTGTAGATTGTCTATTCTATTGAGTATAGAAATCAGTGAAATAAATATTAGAAATGACTGAATTCTGCTGCCTGATTCCGAGCCCATAAATGAATCACATTCCAGAAAATCTGCAAAAAAGATCCCCATTGGCTGACATTCTGAGCACCTCCCCGCTGTGTTTAGATTTACCGGTTCAACGTCCCTGTGAGGAAGGGGAGTAGCCCCATTTTGCAGATGGGGAAACTGAGGCACGGAGAGACAAACTGACTAGCTCAAGGTCACCCAGGGAGCCAGTAGCAGAGCCAGGAACAGAGCCCAGACTTCCCCCCCAATCCAGTGACTTCACGACAAGCCCATCCCCTCTTCCTTGCCTATGTCACTTAATGGGCCAAATTCATCCCCTGGTGGACATCCACTGACCTCAGTGGTGTGACCCCCTCCCAGGGATGATTAAAGTGCTTGGAGATCACTTGGATGAAGGATGCTATAGAAATGCAAAATATATTATTATAGATACCTCAGCAGCCTCGGGGGTCACCACCAACAGTTGGTTCTGAATTTCTTTGTGGCTACGTGCTTACAAACCATTATACAAAAATCCCCCCGCCCCCCTTACAAACAATTCGTCTCAGTCCGTTTCTTTGCTGATTTCCTTTGCTGGCGAGGGGCCTTTAGCCCAATGCTGTTGGGTGTTTGGTTGTTTTCTGGCCTCTCTTTGCAGCTCTGGATGGCGGTAACACCTCCCCCCTCGCTGATGCTTGAGAAGATAAGGGTTTGGTTTTAACATCGGACCCATTGAACATTTCTGTGGCTCTTCGCCAGGGCGGCTGGAGCAATGAGGCAGGTGGGTGGCTTGGAGAAAGCAGCGCCTGCAGCCTTGCTTTTATTGTGCTGGAGAAAAGAGGTATAATTACATGGTAGGATTTTACAGCCCCTTCCTAGGCCTTGGATTTCCTGCAGTTAAATTCAAGCACTTGTGTGGTCATGACCAAACACATCCCTGTGGTCTACGCTCCTGTTACCGAAACCTATAATTTTCGGAGGACAAACATCCTGGTTTCAGGCTCACAAAGCCAGCCGGAGCTCCCAGGTAAGGGTTTGTGGTTCTTATAAGAGGGTCAGAATTCCTGCAGGAGACACTTAGAACTTCCAGCCCTGCAAGCCCAGGAGGGGAAGGATCTAAAGCAAGAGGCTAACGGTGCTGATCCACTTCCAGATTGTCTTGCCTGGATCCCAGCCAGAGAAGGTACCGTCAGGGCTGGAAATGGCTTTGCCTGTTAATTTCTGGAGTTGCATGCATGAAACAACTCCAGAAGGGAACAGGGCTGAGGAGGGGTCGAGGCTGGGAGTCCCCTCCGTTGATGCTGGGCGGGAGAGCAGAGTGGAGATCAAGAGGCCAGGCGAGGTGCATTGCTCTCCACAGGGAAACAATCCCCCTGGGAATCAACTGTGGGAGCTGAGACTAGAACAGGGCTGGGAGAAGCGAAAAGCCGGGGAGGCGGGATTTCTGTCCTGCTCAGAACAATAATAAGTGGCCTTTCTCCAGCCACTTGACCCGAGAATCTCAAAGCTCTTTACAAACATGAGCTAGTTAATCCTCGCAGATCCCCAGGGAGGGAGGTGGGGGGGATCAATATACTCTCCCCCTTGTTATAGAGGGGGAAACTGAGGCACGGGGAGGGGCAGGGCCATGCCCACGGTCTCACAGGGAGTCGGTGGCAGAGCTAAGATCAGACCCTGGGAGTCCACATCGTTGACGCTCTCCGTCTTTCACGCCCGCATCGTTCCTGGTTGAAAGGAGACAAACAAAGAGAGGGGCCGTTCTGCGGGCGCGAAGGAGGGAGAGGGAGCGAGGTCCTTGTCAGAGCATGTTGCTGCACAGCCCAGGAAGCCCAGGTTTGCGGGGGAACCGGTTCCCTTCGGCCTCGCCTAGGAGGCAAGTGTCCCTGTCCCCGCCCTGGTGCAGCTGAGCTCAGGTGTCCTTCCCCCCCCACCACCCCGTCACGCAGGGCCTGAGCCCAGGCTCTGCCGGCACTTGCGCCCCGGGGAGCACTAGTGCGGCTGCCCCTGGCTGAGCACGTGTGTTCGTTTTCCTAGCACAGACAAGGCCTTTGTGAAGGGAGATTTGCTTCACAAGCGGTGGCGAGAACCACCAACATGCGGCAACCAGTCGCTCAGGTGGGTGAGGAGACGGCCGTCTGAGTCAGGCCTGAAGCGGGCTGCGGGGGGGGGGGCTAGGAGGAGCTGTGCTACTGGAAGCGCTGAGCTCCTGGCTACCACTAATGGTGGTTAAAAGTCCCAGAACATTTTTTGCAAGAGTCAGGGCAGGTAAGCCCAGGGGTCCTGGCCTGATTGCAATTTGGGTGATTGGATTTAGCCTCCAGGTGCTCCTGGCTGGTTCACGTGGCTCCAGGGCTACTCTTCCCTTCCTTTCCTGAACGTCAACGTAGTGCCAGTCTTTGCTGATAAACGGCTGGCGCGTTCCGCCCCAGAGGTGACTGCATTTCAGTGGGGAGCAAAGTGAAGAGTGTTGATGAAACAAACTGCTTTGCCGCTCCCCTGCCCCACCAGCACCTCCGCGCTAGTGCAGGAGGCCGTGGGAGCTTCCGTAATGCCAGGAGTTACCGGAGGTGGCGTTTGATTGACATACTCCCCACGCATGACAGCAGCAGGGGCAAAATCCTGGTTCCACTGAAGTCAATGGCAAAACCCCCATAGACTTCAGTAGGGCCAGGATTTCACCCTTAGTATCTAGGACAAGCTTCCCCTAGGGTTGTCCCAGCTATTATTGCAGTCACGTCTGGAACCCCAGTCCCAGGCCAGGCCCCCCCCTGCGCTAGGCACTGTACGTGCCTCACCTCTGACCTCTCGGGAGGGAAGGGGCGGAGTCACTAGTCTAGCCTTGCCTGCTCACCTGAGATTGCCAGCAGTGGGGGGCCTGGAGGGAGCCAGTTGTGGGGATGGGCACCAGGCTGGACTGAGGCCTCCCGACACATTTCACCCGACGGAGGTGACTTTGGGGCTGGTGCTCTAGGGAGGACGGTCCCATCTTACTTCCCGCCCAGATTTAGCAGCTCCAGCGAACTGCGATTGTCCTCAGTGACGAGGCCTCCTCTTGCTCCTGCAGAGTCCCCGTCCCGGCTCCCGATGGACTTCCTGCTGCTCAGCGTCCTCGTGGCGTGGACGTGGCGCTCCCCTTCTCTGGCTGCTCCTTTCACCTACCAGCTGGCCCGGCTCAGCTCCCAGCGGAGCAGCTGCAAGCCCATCCCCAGCAGCATGACCCTCTGCCACGGGGTCGGGTACAACGAGATGCGTCTGCCCAACCTGCTGGGCCACGAGAGCATGAAGGAAGCTCTGCAGCAAGCCGCCTCCTGGGTGCCGCTGCTCACCAAGCAGTGCCACGGGGACACCAAGAAATTCCTGTGCTCCCTCTTCGCCCCCGTGTGCATCAGCGACCTGGAGGATCCCGTCTACCCTTGCAGGTCCCTCTGCGAGGCGGTGAGAGATGGCTGCACCCCTGTCATGGCTGCCTTTGGCTTCCCCTGGCCCAAGATGTTCAACTGCAGCAGGTTCCCACGGGGGAACGAACTGTGCGTCCCGCTGGCCGGCCCGGACGACCGACTCCAGATCGGGAAGGAAGGTGAGGCCAAGCAGCCAGGCGGCACTCGGTGTTTAGCCCGGAGATCCTGGCAAAGACACCAAAGGTTCAACGTCAGGTCATCACAATCAAGCTTTGGCTCCGGTTCAGGGTCGCTGGATGCCTGTTCCTGTTTAACTGTGCGTCCTGCAGCTGTTTGCATGCTTGTGTATCACGTTACTGCCCCCCCAAACCTTCAAGCATTTGATTAAGTGTCTCTCCAAACGCCAGGGGCCAGACAGAGCGCAGTGGCCTGGAAACGTAGCGCGTCTGTAAGAAATGCCCTGGTCTCTCGGTCTAGATATTTATATCGCCCTCGTCGCCAGAGTAGATGATAGATTTTAAGGTTAGCCGGGATCCAGTCTCAGCTCCTGCAGGCTATGGAATTTCATCCAGCGATTCCTGCAAAGGACCAAATGCCTTGCGGTGGAATGAGAGCTTAACTTGTAGGCGCGATGTGACGGCTCTGAGAATGGACCCCGTCCCTTGAAAAACGGTTCCAATGGTTAATGATCCTCACTGTTAAAAATCTGCGTCCCCTTTCCAGTTTGACCTTTGCTGACTTCAGCGTCCACCCGTTGGCTCTGTTGTAGCTTTGCTAGATTAAAGAGTCCTCCCGCCTGGGCAGTCTTCTCTGCCTGTAGGTGCTTATAGACCATGGTCAACTAGGGGGACCAAACAGCAAATATGAAAAATAGGGACAGGGGGTGGGGGGTAATAGGAGCCTATATAAGAAAAAGACCCAAAAATCGGGACTGTCCCTATAAAATCAGGACATCTGGTCACCCTATGATCAACTCACCCGTCTACCTTCTCATTCCTCTTCTCCTCACATGGCCCTGGTCGGGGCTGGCGACTTTTATAGCCTTCTTCTAAAACTCCCGGTCATACGCCAGGCCAACGAGCATATCTCCTGGGCGAGCTGCACAGGTCATCTGGCCACACCTGACCCTCTGGTTTGAAATCGGAGTTTTCCTTCTCCTAAGTGAGCGGCCTGCCGAGGCTGAGAAGCCCACCTGTCCCTTATTTGAAATCCCCCAGGCCTTGCTGAGAGATGCCACCGATGGGTCTGCGACTGATCGTCACAGCTGTCCCGCATCTCAAGCGTCTCACTGAGAAGCTGGATAGACTGCGCTGGGAGGGGTGTTTTTCAGAGCATGACTCATTCTCGGAGCTTTCCTCCCGACTCTGAACTCCAGAGTTTCCAGGCTTAATTCAGTGACGGGTGACCGACAAAAGGGAAAGCCTGGCTTCTTGATGCCAGTTTTTGTTTCTCTGGGATGTATAAGGAAGGCCTGAAAAGTGGCTTTTAAAAACGATTGATTTCTCGCTTTGTGTTTTACCTTAAAATATCAGGAACGTCAGTTCTGGTTTTGCCAGGAAAAGTCACTGAAGGGCTCAGGAAGGTGGCTTGTGAGCTTTCTCAAGCTGTGTCTGAAAGCCACAAGGTGCTGGATCCGTAACAAAGAGAGGTTTCCTCCAAGTGTTTTCAGGCAGTTGAGACCCTTAGCTAGGGTGACCAGATGTCCTGTTTTTAAAGGGACAGTCCCGTGTTTTGGGACTTTTTCTTATATAGGCACCTATTACCCCCCACCCCTTGTCCCGTTTTTTCGCAGTTGCTATCTGGTAACCCCACAATTAGGTGTTAGCAGAAGCGGGTTTACAATGGCACCAGTGGCGTCTGGCCCACACTCAGAAGGGGCCCTGGTGCCCGGACTGTGGCCACGCCCACTGCTTCACCTGTGCTCCGCCCTGAGCCCCCGCCCGGCCTCTTCCCCCTGAGATCCCGCCCCCCGCTCTCTCCTCTCCGCCCCTTCCCTGCCTCGCCCACCACTTGCTCGTCTCTACCCGCTCCCCCCCAACCACTGCCTGCTCCTCTCTGCCTTCTCCTCCCCGTGTGAGCAGTGGGCGGGGCCTCAGGGGAAGAGGCCAAGCAGGGGTGGGGCCTTGGGGCACAGTGTGGGGCGTGGCCACGGACCAGGCTGACAGGGCCCACAAAAGGTTCATCCAGCCCTGGTTGTTACCAAAAACCAAAATAAAAAAAAAAAAGATTGACAAAATCTGAGTTAAAATCCCTTTGCATCTCCGTTAATCAGGTTGAATTGCACAGAGACCAGCTCTCCAGTCATCCATAGAGTCTTCCAGGAGAGGCAGATGTGATTTCTGCTCTATGTAAAACCAAAGAAACATTCTTCAGCCCTGATCTGGGTTGTGCCGTCACAGACAGTTCCTTGCTCGCAGTTCTCAATGCAGCTGTTTCTTTCCCTGCCAGACGCAGTGTGCGCAGCCTGTATCAGCCGAGGGCACAGCGAAAAGGAGTTCCTGGAAAACTTCTGCAGCCAAGATTTTGGTGAGTCAAAAACATCAGGGCTCCCCCGCAGCTGTCAGCTGGAAAATCAGACTCGTCAGCTGAGAGGAGAGGGGGCTGCTGGGGGCGAGGGGCAAAAAACAACTTGTCCCCTCCTGGAACAGACCAGTGTCCACTTGGAGCAGCAGCTGGTCCCCAGACTGGTCATCGTAAGGCAGGCATCCCTGCGATGTGCCTGATTCAGCGTCTCCACCAGGGGTGGGGAAGAGCTCCTTCCTGATCCCTGCCCGTGGTCACGTTACGCCCAGAGGCACATGGGATAGTCGCTCCTCCTGGGCACCTCATGGCCTCAGAGCAGCTCTGCAAGCGGCCCCTTGCCTCAGTTTCCCGCTTGAACCCCAGTAACTTCAGTACAAGCCTGCCCTCCGGTCCATCACGGGTTATTAGCAGAAGGCAGTGCCTAAGTCCACAGCCAGCATCGTCCATGTCACCACCTGTACATGTGGGCTTTAAAACCCGGCTTCCTCCTCCATCCTGATGTCTCCCACCCTCCCACCAGACCTGGACTCTTAACAGTCCACCTCTGCTGGGACAGCCACCCCAGTCCTTCCTTCTGGGGCACAGCCCCACTCTTCCCAGCGGGAAGCCCCACAGCTTCTCCACTGGGAGCCTCCCAGGGTTCCTCTGGCACCCAGCCCCCCAGCAAGGAGACCCAGCGGGTAAGCCCCTCTGCTGCTCCCCTACCTCCAGCCTTCTCTGGCCCTTGGTTCCAGCTCTCTGGCTTAGAGCCAGCGGGCATCTCCGTCTGCCACTCTCCTGCCTCCACCCTCTCCCAGGACCCACCTTCTGTCTCTAGCAGCTCTCTCTGAGGCCTCGTATAGCCCCAAGGTGCAGCCCTGCCCTCTTCATTAGCCCAGCTGGGCGCACACTGAGCCCTGCTTCATTAAATGGGCCAACTACAGTCGCCCTTATAGTTATATCCTAAGCTCATGTCACTGCAGAGTCAGACGCTCCTCTTAGTCACATCTAGTCCTTCTAAAATTCTCACTGCGCTGGCTGCCGCTGTACTTTCCTGCAGCAGCAAGTTCCACAGATGAGTTTTTGTCATTCCTTTGAGCCGCTTCCGTTTGGCCGAGCGCCCCCTTTGTTTCCCTGCATTCTGTTCAACACCCACTGACTCCCTCTCTCCCACAGCCTTGAAAATGAGCATCAAAGCGCTGTCCAGCGCGGACGGAGACTTGAAAGTGACCCCGGAGCTCAAGAGCCGGACCCTCTACAAGCAGGGAGGCTGGTCGGAAGAAGAGCTGAAGAAGCCAGTCCTCTGGCTGACACACGGCGAGACCTGTGCCTGCGAAGAACTCCGCGGGCAGGGGTCCGTGGTCCTGGCCATGGGCCACAAGGCGGCCGGCCGCTTGGTCATCTCCTGGGTGAGGAGGTGGCAGCGAGGGGAGAGGGAGCTGAAGAAATTCACCCGGGCGGTGCGGAAGATCCAGTGCTAAAGGGGAGGGACGCGGCTTTGCACTGAGAACGTCTCCCTCCCGCACGTGCTGTGAATTCTTCCCACTCCAGCCAGAAAACGTATTATATTTAGCCAGGCTCTTACCGTGAAAACAGCACCCCCTCCCCCCAGTCACTGACAGACCCGTTCGGCGTTCAGAGGGGATCCAGAAACTCAACCAGGAAGCAGCTGAATCAAGCGCCCTCCGGAGGGTGTGTGCAAACCAAGGAGACCAGAGGCACAGACAAGCCAGCTCCCCACCTCAGGCCCATGCGGTTAGCTGTAGGGCAGGGGTGGCCAACCTGAGCCTGAGAAGGAGCTAGAATTTACCAATGTACATTGCCAAAGAGCCACAGTAATATGTCGGCAGCCCCCCATCAGTCCTCCCGCCCCGCTCCCAGCGCCTCCCTGCCACCGGCAGCCCTGCCGATCAGCACTTCCCCCTCCCTCCTCACACCTCCCGATCAGGTGTTTCGTGGCGTGCAGGAGGCTCTGGGGGGGAAGGGGGAGGAGCGAGGGCACGGCAGGCTCAGGGAAGGGGGCGGGAAGGGGTGGAGTGGGGGCAGGGCCTGTGGCAGAGCCAGGGGTTGAGCAGTGAGCATCCCCCGGCACATTGGAAAGTTGGCACCTGTAGTTCCAGCCCCGGAGTCGGTGCCTGTACAAGGAGCCGCATATTAACTTCTGAAGAGCCGCATGTGGCTCCGGAGCCACAGGTTGGCCACCCCTGCTGTAGGGAGAACATGCTGGTGGCCAGGAGAGAGGTGAGATCGGAGAAGGGAGAGCTTGTGGGGGGACATAGGAGAAAGGGGGTGAGGGGTGCCAGCCAGGGAATGAAAACAGCAGCAATCACGTGGGGCAATGGGTGCCTAAAATGACCTCCCAAGACACTCTGCAAATGCTCCGTCTCCACCGCCATCTCTTCGCCCCTCCTGCAAATCTGAGGCCAGGTTTTTGTACCGCCAAGCGTTGCAATGTGTGTAGATAACGTCTGTGACTCTGGGCCAACTGACCAATTACACGTCCAGTTAGTTACCGGCATGCGCAGTTACTGCGGCTGTGCGTGCAACGCTAGTAACTGCCTGTGCAAATACCTGCATGCGTTGATGGCAAGTATATTGCCAGTTTTGGCTCAGCTTCAGAATTTGCTTCAATAAAAATATTCTGCTCATTAATCGGCCGCTTGTTGATCTTTGGCTACATGAGCCCAACGAAGGACTCCCCAGTGAACTGTCAAGCAAACAGTGTAAATGGAAAAGACCCGAATCAGCGCCTAGTCCAGGGGTGGGCAAGCTACGGCCCACAGGCCACATCTGACCCACGAGCTGTTTTAAGCTGGCCCACGAGCTCCCGCTGGGGAGCAGGGTCGGGGGCCGCACCATGCGATTCGGCCCCTCTCCAGCGCTCTGGCCGGGGCGCTGGGTCGGGGGCTGGAACACGCGGCTCAGCCCCCCTCCAGCGCTCCCGCTGGGGCACTGCATCGGGGCCGCACCACGCGGCTCCCAGAAGCTACGGCATGGCCCTGCTCCGGCTCCTATGCGCTCCAATGGGAGCTGCAGTGGTGGTGCCTGCAGACGGGGCAGCGTGCAGAGCCGCCTGGCCGCGCTTCTGCGTAGGAGCCAGAGAAGGGACATGCCACTGCTTCCGGGAGCCGCTTGAGGTAAGCGCTGCTCAGAGCCTGCCCCCCTGAGCCTCCCCCCACACCCCAACCCCCTGACCCAGCCCTGATCCCCCTCCCACTCTCCAAACCCCTCAATCCCACCCTCCTGCACCCCAAACCTCATCCCCAGCCCTACCCTAGATCCCGCACCCTCAGCCAGAACCTGTACCCATTCCTGCACCCCTGCCACAGCCCTGATTCCCCTCCTGCCTGCCAAACCCCTCGGTCCCAGCCCAGAGTGCCCTCCTACACCCCAAACTCCTCATCCCCAGCCCCACCCCAGAGCCCCGCACCCCCAACCAGAGCCCTCCTGCACCCCAACCCCAATTTTGTGAGCATTCATGGCTCGCCATACAATTTCTATTCCCCAATGTGGCCCTCGGGCCAAAAAGTTTGCCCACCCCTGGCCTAGTCCATCTCTTCCAGCGCAGGACTGCCCCCTCCTGGGAGGTATTCTCCACCGCTCTGGCCAGCACAGCCAGTTTTAAATAAGTTCGACATCCTGATTTTCTCACAAACCATTCCCCTATCCTGCAGCCTAGCAAACCTCCCTAGCAGGAAACACTTATGTAATCTCACACGCCCGTTCTCAGATACAACATGAGACACGGTTTTGCAATGCGCGCCGAGCCAGGCAATTTCTGGTGTCTCCGGTTTTCCAGCTGACAGGTAGGTTAATAATAGGAGTGGGGTGGAATGGGTTAAGTCTTGTTCCAGGTCAAGTCTGGCTGCGGCTTTACAGTCAGGCTCCATGTAAAGACGCCTGCTGTAACCAGGGGCTGAAATGGTTAAGCAGGCCCATATCTCTGGCCAAACCAAAGTGACATGTAGGGCCACTCACGGTCCAGGGATTGGAACTACGGGGGCAGGGGTTGGCTGGGCATCATTTGGGCAGGGGGTGCGGGGGTTGGGCGAGTGAAAAGCAGGACAGTGAGTGGCAAGCAGTAAGAAAGCCAAGTAGCCAGAAGTGCCAGTAACGCGGCCCTGAGAGAAAGCAAAGAGAGAGCGAGCTTTTTGGGCACAGAGTGCAGGCGGGAAGGGCAGGCGTGGAACAGCGAGCAAAGGAACCGGCGTCTCCTGCTGTTCGATTCCCACTATGTTCAGGGAAACGGAACTTTCTGTATCATCTTCGTAAATAAACAAGGGAGAGGCAGGTGTTTCTGATGCTATCCTTGACTTCTCCTCCTGCCCGTGCTACCCCAAATTTAGCTAACTGCTCAGTTCCAAAGGGGTGACACTTGCCCGGGGTCATCTCTGGCCCTCACGGCCCTTTACAAAGCTGGATTTGCATGTGTCGCCCCGTTGTACAGATGGGGGACCCGAGCACAGGGAGATGGGGCGACTTGCCCAATGTCCCATTGCAAACATGAGTCAGAACAATCTGTGGCATTTCTGGGGCCCATGTCACTCTGACATCTGAGCGCCAGCGGCTGCGGGGGAGCGGCGACATTTGCCACGTTGTTTCTGAAACAAATAGTTTACGTGCGGAAAGAGATGTTTTAAAAAAAAAATGGCGCTTGACTCCAGTGGCAAGAAGCAGCCCCGGCAGTTCCTGGCCCCCTGGGGCGCTTCTGGGGTGACTGGGGGTGCTCGGCCGGCGGCGGCTTCGTGTTGCAGGCCAAACCCACCAATCGGCGTCGTGGGACACCCCGATGTTCTAAGAACCCTCCTGTTCAAAGAGAAACAGACGGCGGGCGTGGGAGGGGATGGGCCAGAGGATCTCCATAGGGATCCTCAGCCAATTGAGGGGTAGCCCCCAAAGGAAAATCTCCCCGGCTGATCCTGAGCAAGAGCCCGGCGCTGAGGGGACCCGCCCAATCCACCGCCAGCCCCAGCAGGTAAACGGGCCTCATGAGCAACAGAAATGGAGGGAATTCCCCTCTCGGGGCCCAGGAGGACGGGTCCCTGCAGGGCCAGGCTGGGGGGATGGGTTGGAGCCCAGGAGAGCTGGTTCTGATGGGGGGAGCCGTGCGGGTCTGTATGCATGGAGGGGGGATGAAGACACGTGCTGATGGGGAGGGGGCAGTGGATAAGGGGGTAGGTGCGGCCGAGTCCCAGAGCAGCTTCGCATCTCCTTAAAGCTGAGGTGGGCAAACTACGGCCTGTGGGCCACATCCGGCCTGCGGGACCCTCCTGCCCGGCCCCTGAGCTCCTGGCCCGGGAGGCTGGCCCCCGGCCCCTCCCCTGCTGTTCCCCCTCCCCCGCAGCCTCAGCTCCCGCCACCGCCGGCGCAATGCTGTGGGCGGTGGGACTGCGAGCTCCTGGGGCAGCACAGCTGCAGAGCCGCAGCCTGACCCGGTCTCTGTGCTGCGCCGTGGCGACGGCATGGCTGGCTCCAGCTACCAGTGCTCCAGGCAGCGCGATAAGGGGGCAGGGAGCAGGGGGAGTTGGATAGAGGGCAGGGGAGTTCGGGGGGGGGGTGGTCCGGAGGCGGGGGTGTGGATAGGGAGCAGGGTGGTTGGGGGGAGAACAGGGGGGGTTGAATGGGGGCAGGGGTCCCGGGTGGGCAGTCAGGAAGGAGGGGGGGTTGGATGGGATGGCGGGGGGCAGTCAGGGTCAGGGGTTTCGGGGGCAGTCAGGGGACAGGGAGAAGGGGTGGTTGGATGGGGCAGGGGTCC